GGAGCAGCCACATTCCTGCCTGGGCTAGGATTAGAGACAGAAACATTTTGGGGGTTGGGGGCGGAGCCACCTGGACAGCCAGCCAGGAGACATGTTAGCGTCTTTCTAGGGTGGCCAGTTCTCTGGGGAGGAAATCACGGCCTCCAGCTGGCACTGCATGGGCCAGGGGCACCAGGGTGCAAAGCGTGTCAAGAAGAGAAGGTGCTGCCCACTTCCAGGCAGTGTCCACTCCTCCCAGAAGAGCACACTTGGATAGAACTGACACTTCAAAATAAGTTTCAAACACCCCCCACCCCCATCCCAAGGTAGCACGAAGGGGCCACCTCAGGCTCTTGACTCTGGGGGTCCAGGGGGCTCTGCTCAGGGCTAAGGGTGGGTGCGGGGATTGGCCTTCCTTTGGTGAGAACACAGCCCCCCCCCACACACACACACACATACACATGCCCCAGGGAACAGAGACGCTGTGCAAACAAGGACTTTAGTATAAATAAGAGGTCCAGGGGGAACAAGGAGGGCCCCGTGGGCCTCCATAATTTAACACTCTTCAAAAGCACAAATCATAGCAAGGGGTGGGGTGTGGGCTTGGAGGGGACACCCCCTGCAGCCCTCTCACCCAGGGGCACAGTGGAGCTGGGCTGCTGTGGGCGGAGTCTCCCAGGAGTGACCAGTCACATGCTGGGACAGGGATGTGGGTTAACACTGGTATTTCAGAGGACAGGTCATTGTACTTGGCAGTGGGTGGGGCCAGGGCTGAGGCCACACAGGCCTGTCCATCCCCATGGCTGGGCCAGTCTGTGCAGGGTGGGGGCTTGCAGAGCCCTTCATCACGATTAGTCTTGTTACTACAGTGGTCCTTGAGGTCTGCAGGGGGGGTTATGGCTAGGAGGCTGGGACATGGGACATCCGAGCTTCACACCACAGTGCCACTGGGGGAGTTGCCTGGTTGGGAGGAGATACCCTGAGGAGGATGAGAGGGAGGTCGGATTAGACAACACCTGGGCTTCTGCCAGTGCTGGGGTGGGGAGGGGCACCCGAAGGCTTCTGGACCCCCAGTCCCACAGCTGTCGTCCCGGCGAGGTCCCTGCCCCAGGATGGCACTTTGACAGTAATGAATGGCCCCAGGTGATCCCGGGCAGGCAGATGGGGATGGTTGAGAGGAAAGAGAATCTGGGGTCCACTTGCAGCTTGGAGGTTGGTCCTACCTCTACCACTGACTTGCTGGGTGACCTGGGCCAACTTGCTTCCCCTGTCTGGGCCTCGTTCTCCTCGTCTGTAAACTAGGGAGACAGAGGGGCATCTTTTAGAGCTCACACATCCCAAGCCCTACCACCCTGCCTTTGCTCTGAGCTCTAAGGCTTCTTTCTGGACTCAAACCTTCCACAGCAAGGATCCCGGACGCAGAGCCCACATGCTAAAGAAAAAGACAGCCCAGCCCTGTCCTGACCAGTGCCAGGCCTTCAGCTCACTGACTAAGACCACAGCCACCACACAGCCCATCTGCAAAGCACAGTGACCAGGACCACACACCAAGCAGAAATGTGGGCCTGGGCCTGGGCCCTGGCGATTCCCATCCGGGCCTTTAGCAGCTGGCTCAGAAATGGAGTGTCTAAGAGGCAGCCAGAAGCCAGGCCCTCGGCTCAATCTTATCCCTGGACTGTCAGCCCCAAAACAAAGCTCACCAATTAAAATGCGTATTTCCCATGAAAACAGGTCTGCCTTGAGTGTGAAGTGCTCAGGGTGGGCCACACAGGTCACCAGAGGCCCTTTGGATGGTTGGATGTGGGCCCCACCCTTCCATCC